AGATATGTTTAAATCTGGCATGCCATACAAAAATTGACGGAATACATTAATTAATTGCATAAGCCAAGGGTACAAAACCTCTTTCAGAACAATGGTCAAATTGTCACGTAAACTTATTGTCAGTAACTAAGCCTTAGGAAAAGTTTCCATCTTGTAGAAAACTGCACAAAAGTCAGAAAATCATAAAAAAACAATCAGTGCTTAAGGGAAAGAAGGTGGAGACTGGGGAGGGGCAGGTGGCCTTCTGGGAAATCTCTGGGGTACCACTGGGACAGCCAGAGGATCAGATTCAGTCCCAAGGCATCAGGCTGTGCACCAGTGGTTAATGAATAAAGTAAAAGCAAAGCTTAATTGCTGAATTCACCTAACAAAACAAAACAAGCCCTACTAAATAACAGGTGAGATTGTCACAGTCGCCATAACATTCCATATACTGAAGTTTGGGCCATGTAGCCCTTAGATTTTTGCTGAAGCCCAACACTTTTTTTTTATAATAACTTTTATTCAAAATAACCCTAAAACAAAGGAAAACTAAAAACAACATCAATCATCAGAAACACCTGCTGGTCAGCCCCCACATTTTTTTCTGTTTATGATAACTTAAAAACATATTTATACGAAGTCCCGTTTCTCTAGCCAATAATAAAGAGTCCCAAGTTTGATAGAAATTGCTGAAGCCCAAAACTTTGAGTGACTTGCCATGTAGATGATCTAAGCACGACTCTGTAAGACAATCTCAGCTCTTCTCAATAACTGGCCTCTGCACATAGCCAGCTTTTTATTCTGATCTTTTTGTCACTGTTCCCAGATTTTGAAAAGCAGCTTGACACAGAAATCAATCAGGTGAGACTTTTCTGAGCACGGAGAGGGAAAAAGCGAAAAACAGACAGCGGCAAGCCAAGGTGTTGTTAAAGGCTTAAGAGCAGAGTCAGGAAAAATACAAATTTATGGGAGCACTAATGCAGTCCCTTCTTCAACTTGTGAAGCATACACAGAATGTAACCTCACCTCCCCTTCCAGCACACATCCCTGGATCCCTACCTCTGACGCAGATATGTCAGCCTTTGCAGTACAGAGTTGGTACACTGACTCAAAAGCAGCATGCAGAAGTGCCCAGCGCGGAGGGAACTTCCCCCTTCTACGAAATCTTTGTTGTTCTTCAGTGACAGGATGCACATGGATGACCAATGGTGACTCATCACTCCACCACATTTAGTATTCAACCTGCCATCAGCCTCTGTTGCGAGTGCAACACACCCAGATTCCACAGACACAGAAACGCCTGATCCTGCCTAATTTTGGAAGCTAGCAGGGGCAGACCTGGTTAGTGTCTGGATGGAAGACTTGGAGGCCTGCACTGAGCAGGGGTCTGACTTGAGGGCCTTCTAGGCCTGTTCCAACTCTATGATTCTGTTCTAATCGGCTTTCTCCAACCTGATGGCCTTCAGATGTTTCCCGGATTTAACTCCCAGGAGTTTTGACATTTGCTTAACTCAGAAGGAAGTGCTAGTGAGCTCGGCAAGAGCCATTTTTACTGAAGAGGCAAGTGCTACTTGCATTCCCAGGAAGGGAACTCTAGGAAAATTTATGCAGACGCCATACAGGTTTAGTGGGAGTTGATACTTGAAGGCCAGGAAGGCAATATATTGACTCCGGATTCTACTCTGGACCTCTACAGAGCTATCTGTGGTGCTGATCCTTTCTGGCCCCAGGTGCAGCGCCATTGAAAACTTGTTTAAAATTCAGACTAAAGCCCCGGGTGCCGGATTACAGACTATGGTGGGCTACCAGAGACCTTGTTACTCACTAAAGCTGCCTTAGCTGTTCATCTTCCGCTTCCACCAGGCCAGCATCGTTAATGGTGAGGAATGCTGTGAACTGTAGCCCAGAACATCAGGATGGAGTCAGCTTGGCTGCACTAAGGGTTCATGTGTAAAATGAAAATGAGTATGAATGTAACAGATGACAGGCCACGATAGCTTGGGCAGAAAGCTCCCCTCAGTCCCTGTTGTCTCTGGGAAACAGTCCTGTCTAAAGCATGGGAGAGCTACAGCCTGTCAGTACGCTAGATCAGCCTTCCCCAACCTGGTGCCCTTGAGAGCTGCCATGCAACACACCTGGAGAAACTCAACCTGGGGAAGGCCGAGCTAGCGGGTGAGGGCACAAAAGAATCTGGTGTTCTAAGCAACTTCTCTAATTAGAAGGATAGTTAGGGAAGTCCCCTATTTCCACCCTCTTTCCTTCAAATCCACCTAGAGCAGGTGTTCACAGGATAGTAACAATTAATTTATTGATACAGAATCAGGTGGCAATCTTGTTGAAGTATGGCAGGTTTATGCACGGCTGGTTAAAGTACATAACTCACTACCACTGACTTCTGCATACGAAACGGCTTCCATTTCCCAGTGTTCACATGGTAACCAGCAAGGCAGGCATTCTTAGAACCGAATCTGATCCTCTCACTATTACATGATATTCAGCCACATACATAATACTCTACTCCCTGCTTGGCAATGCAACGCATATGCAGCAAGAGAAGGTAGCACACGGACATAAGCACGCACGTGCCTGCGTACACGTACACACACAAACGCACACTACTCCTAACTAGTATTTTGACAAGGTGTGAAGACAAGTGTGGGGCATTCCAAGCTGCGCTCGCAGATGTCAAGGAACATTACAGCAATCATCCCAAATCCTTGCTTATTGTAAAACAAGTCCCACCACAGAGGCAATCGGATGCTCTTCAGGTGTTTTGGGCTACGTCTTCCATCAGTTCCAGCCAATATGGCCAAAAATATCAGAGCCGCAGTCCAAAATGTCTGGAGGACCCTGGTCGGTCAACCCCTGAGCTACAGAGATTCAGCTCCAGACACTTCCTAATGAGAAGAGCTGATGAACAGCAGGACAGACAATCTTAAGAGATGCAATGAAGCACCTTCCTTGGAGGTACTTCAATAGTGACTCTTGGGGTTGCTGCAATTGTATCTTCCTTTGCAGATCCTTGCAACAGGCAGCGAGTAGGACTAGGTGACCTCTAAGGAGCCTTCCAGCTCCATGATTCTGTCCACACAGGAGTTGAAATGGTTGCACTCAGCAATGCGGCCTTCACGGCTTCGAGTTCCGACTTTCCCAGCTTTGATCTACACAGGTTTCAGAATGATGCCATAACATCACAGAGCAGAATACAAGCATGTGAAAGAGACTTAGAGAGGACTTAAGGGGAAGCCCCTATCTATTTGCTTCTGCTCATTCCGACATGCAGCAAATTTGGATTTTTTGCAAGGGGTAACACTCAAAAATGTGACTCTGCTGCCTTCCGTAAGTGGCGCAGGTTGCCTTTCAACCGCCGCAGGATTCCACCACATCGTTCTGTTGCATGGACAAGCCAGCATCCCTCATGATTACCTTTCCTGCCACACACAGGGGCCTGCAAGATGACAAGTGCTGGCTGGATATCTACGTACCAGGATTCCCATACTCAGGGACTACTTAGGAAAGGTACCATGCAGGTAGATCTCCAGATGTTTTGGACTTCAGTTCCTACATGCCCTTGCCAATACAGCCAAGGGTCAGGCAACCCTTCAGACCATTCTTGACTTAACAGAATTCAGATGCCCTGTAACTACCCTGATGGATTCACAAGGCAGGTTTTCCCCCGACCTCTCAGTGCCCACTTGTGGATGATCCATGGATCCCAATCCATTTTAGTTTATTCAGAGCAGGGCACCAAGTGCTAATGTGTGATCCTATGTACGAATGTGCAAGAAACTCTGCACTACCAGATGCTGTAATGTGCAAAGAAATGCTTTACTTTCTTGGCCTAATCAGTAGTTAGGAAAAACAGTCATCCTCACACCTGTTCACCAAGAGGACATAACTTCCCGAAGTCCCTGAAGAACACTTTAACGTTTTCCACCTACTCTTTCTCCCAGCTCACTGTTCAAGGTGGAAAGGTAATAGATGGTTGCATGGCTTCCAAACCAACTTGAAAGAACTGCTTGGAAGATTTTATCTTTATGGGACCAAAGGGTTCTTTCAAGGACTTTAAATTAAGGAGGAGGAGAAGGTAGATCTCCAGATGTTTTGGATTTCAGCTCCTAGGAGCCCCTGACAGCATGGTCAATTATTAGGAATGCTGGGAGTTGAAGTCCAAAATATTTAGGGATCTCTTTTCTGCCACACCCCTGCTTTAAATCACCAGTCAGTGTCCCTGGCATGGTTTATAGTTTTGTCTATCCCAACATGGCACCCTTCAGATGTGTTGGGACTACAATCCATCTGGAGGTTGCCAGGCTGGGAAGGCTGATGGGAGATGCTGGGACTTGTAGTTTACATGAGCGTATCAAGACTGCCAGAAGACAGGCATTTGACTCTTTAATCATACTGTATGCTATTAGCAATGTGAGTCTTACATTCAGATTAGAAGCTGTTTTTAAAGCATGTGCTGCTGCCGAGTGAGCATTCATCCTTGGGTATGTGTTCAGCAACCCTATTCACAAATTACACTCCCCTCTCCTAGCACATATGGAGATGGAGCCCATCTCTAGGCAACCTGCTTTCCAGACACCTGAGGAACCAGGTCTTTGGGAAGAAGTCCCACTGAACTCAGTGGAGCTGACACCTGAGTAAATGCAGCATAACTTCAGGATCATGCTACAAATTATTGCTCAAGGCAACCCTTCCAAACGGTTACCCACAACAGGTCCCTCTGCTCTCGCATGCCTCCCGCCAACACCCGAAGAAGAAAAAAAGACATTATAAATGCTTCTCCAACCAGGGCTGCTAAGTGACCGGTGTGCGCACATTCCTTTCCCGCCCCACCCCTCTATCTGCTGCTGAAAAAAAGGCACAGTGCAAAGGGGACAGGGAAGGAGGAGGATAAATCAATCTTTCCCAGTAAGAGCATTGGACTTTCTGCCAGATATGCGCAGGAAGGGCACGATCTCTGACTCTTCATCATACTAGCAAGCAGGGAGGCGAGAGACAGGCGCACTTACTGGGATGTGAACTCGCAACACACGCTTCTTCTGGCTGGAGCTTTTCTTGCTGCTGGAAGGGGCATCTTTCTTCTTCGTGTCCATGGCTGTGCTTCCCATTTCTTTGATACCCACCAGAGCCCCCAACCCTATTTCCGAAGTAAGGCTCACTGGAACCTGCCCAGCAAGGCCTCTGTATTGAGGCTGTTTTCTGCCAACTTCCCAGCTTCCACAGGATGATCCTTGGGGCTCCTGGCTTTTCAGAGCTTTTGGCAACAACGAGTTGGCAAGCGAGGGATGTCAAAAGAAGCGGGGAATTTTATGAGCACAACTTGAGATTCCCAAGGACAAGGGATGGGTCAGGAAAGAAGCGAAAGGCGCCTGCAGGCATCCTTAGAAGTCGTCAGGGGCGGAACTGGTGGTACCTCAGGACAGTTTTGCCAAGTCAGAAACAGCTAGAGGTTGCTGGAGGCTGCAAAAGTTTCCAGGTGGCCATGTCCTCGAGGGAAAAAGCAAGAAGGTGCGTCGAAGAAGGGAAGGATTTAAAAATGCAAATGCTGCTCGCAAAATAAATATAATCCCCACACAACACCAGTCCGTTTCCTGTGCCCCGGTCCGTTTCTGCAGACACGCGCGCAAGCGCGCGCACCCCAAAGCTGTGCCGGAGCAGGAAGAGAAAAGGAGATGCGCTTCTTCTTGAAAATCTGGTTTCCTCTCTTGCAGCAAAACAGGCGCCTGCAGTTTGCAAGAGAGAGAGCGCGCAGCAGCACTTTCGGGCTTTGCAAGGACAGCAGCTGATATAAAAACAGGGGAAGGGAACCGACGCGAGCGAGCCGCAAAACCCAGCCCAGGAGGGAGGCGCAAACCGTAATGTGTGTATATATTCCTCGTAATCGAGGAGGAGGCGGAGGCCGCCGCTGAACAGGAAGTGCAAAATCGCGAAAGACAACTTTCTCTCCGCTAACGCGAAGCGGCACACGCCCCTCGGTGCCTCCGGCGCGTCTGCAGCGAAGCCAAGGTCGCGCCGACGAAGGGCTCCGCGCGGGCTCCCGAGCGCAGCCCCTTCAAGGACGCGCCGCCCCCGCCGCCGCCCGCCTGAGTCATCCCCGGAACGGGCAGGTGGGGGCCCAGATTTGGAAAGAGCCCCCCGCGCGCGTTTTGCAACGCGGGAAGCGGCGCTTCCCCGTCCGGCTCAGAGCAGGAGGGGGAGGCGAGAGGAACGGGAAGCGCGCCCCTCCCTCCGCGGCTCCGAGCGCGCTCGCCAGGGGGCCGGCGTGGTCCCCCCTGCGTGCCCGCGGGTCGCGCCGGCCTCACCGGGTGGGGCGGGGGGAGAAGCGTCGTGCGTACGCGCGAACACGCGCCTCCCCCCCCCCGGCATGGGGGGGTTAGGCCGCGCGGGGCCCCCATTCCTCCGCCGGGCAGGCGCTGGCGAGCCGCGCCGCGAGCCGCGCACGAAATCAGCGGTGGCGCGGGCGGCGGGCGGACGAGGGCCGAAGGGCCCGGCGCCGCAGCGGGAACGGGAGCCTCGCCCCGCGCTGCCAAGCACGGTACCAGCGATTTCCGCTAACCGTCAGCATGCAGTGGATAGGCTGCAACCCCATCCTGCCTCCGAGCGCCTGGGAGTAAGCCCGGCCGAACGCAACGGGGCTTACTTCCGAGGTGACACGCAGTGGGGTAGTGCTGCGGTTCTCTTTTGCCGAAGTTATGCCATAACCTCCGTGTTCCAGTCCACCCACCCTGGAAAGAAGGGCCTTTCTCTTTCGGTCCATTTTCCGATGCACTGAAGAAAGTGATCTACCACTAAAATTTTTCCCTTGTGTAAGAATAGCCCGAGCATCGCACAAGCGATGCCTCTTGCACGCCGTGTGCGCGTGGGGAGTTATTTCATTGAAAATGGGGTCAAAAGGAGAGAAGAGCCATTTAAAAATTGGCAAAGGCATCTACTGCATAACGTACTGGCTAGAAAATATATCCAACAAAAGGAGACAAATGCCATCGTTAACAACTCGTGTTAACAATCTAAACCCATTGCACAGCTCTTCTGTTTTCCTACAGGGATCAAAAGGAAACACTGTGAGAAAACATGAAAAGGCAACAAGAAGTTAACACCCCCTCTGTAAAATTCCATCCAGAAAACAGTGCAATGGGGTGAAAAATGCCGTCTTAGTCAGCATAAATCAGGCATTTGTCAGTGCCCAACTAACAAAAAGAAAATAGCAATAAACAGAGTCAGGCTGGTGCCCAGGAACAATCTACTACAGAACAGTTTCCTGCTAAAATTAGTCATTTGTATCATCAATAAGTTACAATGTGCCCTGGACAATTTTATTTATTTATGTTATATCTCATCTTGTTGCCATTTTATCTTCACAACAACCTGGTGGCTGGTCCATCAACTGCATCCTTACCTGGACAGGCAAAGCCTCGCAACAGTGATCCATGCTCTGGTATCCTCACAATCAGACCATTGTAATGCACTCTGTGTGGGGCTGCCTTGAAAACCGTTTGGACACTTCAGCTGGTACAGAATAGAGCAACAAGATTGCTTACTAGGACTGGCAGGTGAGATCATGTAACACTAGTCCTGTATCATCTTCACTGGTTACTGATTGAGGTGTTAAATGCTTCACAACCTGGAAAACTGAAGGAAGGTCTCCTTCCAGATGCACCTGCCCAAACTTTGAAATCTTCCACTGAGGTCCTACCAAAAGAGCTAGAAGAGTAGCTACCCAAGGAAGAGCCTTTTCTGTGGTGGCACCTTAGAATCCGCTCTCCGGAGAGCTGTGCTTGGTATTGACACTTTATTCATTTTGGTGCCAGGCCAAAACCATCTTATCTACCCAATATTTTATGGTTGATTGGTTTTTAATACATGCCATAGATTTAGTGCTGTTTATAGTCTTGGTCTTTTGGACTAGAAAGGCATCCACAGATGCAAGATGGGGCAAACATGTTTCAAATAAATAAAATAACCTTGTGAGGTACATTAGGCCAAGAATCAGCAACTGGCCCAAAGAGACCCAATAAGCTTCTAATCCCTCCAGCCATGAGTGGGAATTAGAACCTGGATCTCCTGAGTCCAATACTTTAACCACAAAACCATGCAGGTTCTCGCAGAAGAATTACTTTTCCTTCTCACAGGCCTGGGCTGGTACACCTGTACCTGGTTTGGGTGCATACACAAATCTGACACCATAACTGGCAAAATAGAACAGAACACCAGGATTCTGACCTTTTATACACAACTATCATTGACCTTAAGGCAGCTATTTTTGAACAGAGGGACTGCAAAGACAGATTCCAATGCAAAATATCCTAATTAGCATTCATCAAGAGGTCCCACTTATCTCCTGCAGTTCAAACAGGGACAAAGGGGTGGCGGTTTATCACAGTATGTGGGTGAATCACACAGCAATGCAGGGATGTCTGTTAGTCCCCCCCCCCCACAAAAAAAAAGCTCTGTGAATGACCAATGTTAATAAGGTAATTAGCACTGGTTGTACTTTCTGTGCTTAATTTCCCTTGACTTCACTGTTCACAATCACTGCCACTCCAGCACACATTCTTGCGGCTCAGCATAATGCTCAGCGCATCTGAAGGAAGGGGCCGTGGTGTGCAAAAGCACATGCAGTCATGAACCTGCGAGTCTTCCAGTGCCATCAAACTGGGTTGCTTTTGCTGAAAGCAAAATATTATTATATTTACATCCCCCTTATTTCTTCTCACATGGGACTTAAGAAGGCTTTCAAGGTCTTCCCGTTTGCTGTCATGTCCAAAGAACCCTGTGAGCCATGAAGGGGTGAGAAATGTTACGGGATGTCTCATCCATTGCAGCTTCTATTTGAGTTTTGTAGAAGTTATCCATAGTATTCCATGGGGGTAAACCTGTTTTGGGGATGGAGCTCCCCACCATGGATAGCTCCTAGAAAGTTCAAAATAAAAGCTGCAATGGGGGAAGAACCCCACTGACACTGGTGTCATGACACTCTCCTGCCTATGAGGCAAGTTGGCGACTTGTCCAAAGGCACCAAAGGTGTTTTGTGCTCAAACTGTGCATCCCAAGCCCTAGTCCAGCATTCCACCCACACATTTGGAAACCTGTCCCGCTGTAAATTTCTGTGAATGAAGCAGCATGATTGTGACCCTCCTACTTTTTTCCCCAGTGTTTTTCCCCCTCTTTCCCCTTGCCAAAGAAAATCTACTTAGGAAATAAAGGTTCGATTGCTGCGTGACACTTTCCACTTTCCAGCCCTCCATGTGAAATCGCATCCTGTTCTCCATGCCCATTTCAGCTGCACACTTTCCCCTTCTCATGTGCCCATGTGCAGGACCCACATTCTGCCCCACCCTTCAAGGGAAGGGCTGTCCAGACGGAAACATCCACAATCATTAGGAAATTATTTTGTCATGGACCTTAAGCCATCCAGACTTGGTCAATATGTAATTTAGTGTTCAGGATTAAATATATTCTACTGGTAGAATAGCCTCACAGGATGACCTGACTCACAGCCAGGGAAATGGTATCTATGCCACGGAAACCTCCAGATTAAATTACTGTAGTGTGTATTACATGGAGCTGCCTCTCCAAAGCTTTACACTTTAGCTTGGCAATTTAGTTCAAAATACAGCCATGAGGCTGAAAACTGGGACTGGATATTGGGAACCTATTGCCCCGGTGCTTAAATTGCTAATTCCAACTTTGTTTCTAGGCACACTTTTTATTTTATTATTTTATTTTATTATTTTGTACTGCCCAATAGCTGAAGTTCTCTGGGCAGCGAATAACAGTTAATAAATATGAGAAGAGACCATCTAAAAAGCAGAATAAAACATCATGAAATTACATTGACTGTTCAAACTCCCATTTTAACAATTGCACAACTAAAACCAATCCTGCTATAAACAGCTTGGTAGCCATTGGACCTGTTCAACTACAACTCCCAGCCAGCCATGTTGCAGTCTAACCTATCTGGCAGATGTCAGATTGGGAAAGCCTGCACTAGGGGTAAGATGTTTCCTCAGAAACCCTTCTGGTGCCAGAGGAGGGAGGGGTCACTGAGAGCAAATTGGTGGCAGATCACCAAGTTTTCAAAAGTTTAAAAAGAAGAAAATCAGTCTCTGAAGTTTTCTAGGTATTAACCTGGCATGGGAAAATATCAAGGAAGGGTGGGGTGCAAATATTAACAGATGAAGCTGTCAAAATCTGTTTGCCTTCTTTCTGTTGATAGCACAGTAAGTTTGTTTTGGCCTGCCTGCGATGCAACATAGAGTGCTGCAGCTAATCAGAACTCTGGGAAACGCTGTTCTACGGGTGATGGCACAAGGAAAGCATCACAGCTCCAGCTCTTCTTGCCTGGTGCCCAACCTGATGTGCCAAGGAGGGCTGAAATGCCAGGGGTCCTCGCGCACAGGGCTGGGACCCATTTTCAGGCCAAGATCCAAGTTCTAATCTGGTCAAGGTCTTGGGAAGCACATTCTATCCGTGGGTACGGCAAGAGGCAGATTGAGCAGACCCAAACAGATGATAATTCTCATCCTTCTTAAACCTCAGAAATTAGC